TGGCCCAGCCGCCTTCCAGCAGCGACCGTGGTCCTTGCCCACTATCTCTCGTTTGCTGCTGGAGAAATCCCTCGCCACCGCCGAGCGGCAGCGCGGGCTCTTCTCATTGGCCTCTGGGGGCAGCAACCCAGCCACCCCTACTGGCTGCATCCGCCACGACGCTGCCAGGCTCCTTCTTCTTCACCGACTCCTCCACCAGGGCCGCCAATTGCGAAATCTGCCGTTGCAAACTTGCAAGCTCCGCGTCGCGGCCCTCCTGCACTGGCGGGCGGGTCTGTTCTCCGCTCGCAGCAGCGCGCTCTTCGTCTCCAGCAGAGCTCATCCCGATGTGGCTTCCCTCGAGGGGCAAAAACTCTAGAGTGTTTGCGGCCTACGCCACTTATTTATCGGGTGAGACTGTTTTGGTGATGTATTAACTTCACGGGAGGTAGACGACCGTCCTTCACACGGACGAAAGAGGGAGTGCTCAAAGAGCGGCTCCCACAGCAAGGAGGGGCCGTGAATCATCGCGGTGCCCCCTATCAAACGGTTATCTTACCAGTCTGCGTGACACTAAATCATCCAGCACATGTATCCAACAGCAATGTTCGCAGACTCACGAACAGGAAAGCCTTCGATGAAGACTTCCTGTTAATCGGTGAGCCCTTAAGATGGTGAGCCCTAGCATTGTGAGCACCAAACATGGTGAGCCCTTAAGATGGCGAGTCCCTAACATGGTGAGCCCCTAGTTCGCTACAGACTGGGGAAGCGGAGTAGGTTGCCTTGAAGCTGATTGCCGCGTCGAACCGTCTCGAGGCGAACGCTGTCAGATCTTCGTTGATGAATCTAGCGAATCTGGAGGTGCTGGTCGCATTCCGCATTTCGCCACGGTGCTCGCAGCAGTGTCCACACGATTTTTTCTATACTGCCGCCGCCTACGTTAGACGGCCACTAATGTCTTTCCTTCTCTTAACACGTTTGCTTCCGCTCGTTCTCGCTATACCGCTACGTGTTTTTTTCTCCACGGACTGGAACGAAGGGGTTCTAATTACTTACCGTGGTGACCCCAGGTTCCAAACAATTATTGAACCTGCAACCCGAAACTGCCACGCCAAGAAACCGCAGTTGTTATGCGTATTCGACAAATAAACTTTCCTGTCTGTCGACGCAAATTTCATGACCACGGCCTACAGGTAATTTTGGGATCGAGGGTTGTGGAGTTTGGCCATAGAACAAGATCATACCGATTCTCCAATTGTTCTCGAAATAAATGTTGTGGACTGTTGTCGAAATGTGTCTCGTATATCTTTCACTGATGTCACTGCTATGAAGCCCGAACATGCCACGGGAAATCTGATCTCATAAGCGGCGGTAGTGAGTGGTTCGCAAGCAGGGAGGGAGGTACAGTAGGCCTCTTGGCCATCGCTCTCTTTGCCATATGCTTACACACATACACACATAGTAGTAGCGGAAGTATTCTTTCTCTCGGGTGCCTTGGTGCTGGCGGGTATCTTGGGTGCTGATCCTTGGCCTTCTTCCGCTGGTCACAGCGAAACCCATGGAGGATTTGGGTGAAGCCAGGCCACGAGTACTACCAGTCCGAGGAGGAGTTGAGTCCAGCCCTACCGAAACTGAATAAAGTCTATGTAGCAGGCGGGGGTGCGTCAACAGGGAGGCGTCAGCGATATCCAGTGTCATGAGTTAGCTGTTGTATTGACCAGAAAAAAACAGCATACGGTGAGATGTTCCGAACGATGTTATCGATGACGATACAACGATACTGTGAAACGTTTCTTGATGTGCCGAGTATGTGTGCGGAGCCCCTGTTCTCCCTCCCTCTCTGGCATGAACCACCCACCTTTCAAACCCAAGACCGTGTCGTTCCTCAAACACCGAACCTCACACATCCTCCTCCTGCGGCCGCCTCCTGCGATCATCCTCACGCCTCACCGGAGTGCTGTGTCGCTGCTCGCCTCCGTGCTGACTCTCGTGACCACGCCTGGTCCAGCTGGGAGAGAGGGATGTATTGGTACAGTAGGATTGGAAACAAAAGGGGAGAGAGGAGTTATCTGACGTCAAGTTTTTCTCGCTCGTCACTCGCGACAACAGATAATGGTACACCACGAACAACGAGTGCAGATTCTCACGCCAAGCAACCAGCAGAACATCTATTTCTGGGAGAGAGTGCGGGAAGTTTTGAGACGACACAAAATCTGGCGTGGTAGGCTTGCACGGTCCAAGGGCGAACTGCGGTACAAAGTCATTTTTCGCATGTGTTCTCAACAAAGAAAGATTAGAGAACACAAAAACACACAAAAATACTACCCATTCGAGATGAGACAACAGTCGAACGGGATGTGTTGAAGTCTTCACAGTAAACGGAGGGAAACCGGCTGGGTACTGAGAGTCTTTCTCCTATATTGTACATACATGAAGTCAAACGTACGCCCGATGACTTTAGGCCAAAACAAACGTGGACTACAGCAGTGTAGGATACAGTACATGTACCCTGCCTACTCTGCTGTGTATTCGTGTGTCTGGATACGAGCATGGTAGATCTGCTGGCAGCACCGGGGGGTATGTAGACAGGAGCATGCGTATGCCTGAAAAAGGCTACTATGTGTGGGCCCCCTTCCCCGAATTTGGTAGGACCACTTCTTCCCTTCCTTTCCTCGCTCCCATGGGTGCCTAATCAGAGAGAGTTAAAGCGTGTCTTCTCCTCCCAAGTACGCACATACCAACACACTAATGTTTGTTCCCTCGAGGGAGTCCATTAGGGATGGCGGGCCGCAGAACCGGAGGGACCACTCCGGACGGCTCGCAGGCAGCAGACACAAAAAGCAGCGAGCAGATCGACAGCATGCGGTCTGAGATCAGTTCGCTGACACAGCAAATGGGCCAGCTGGTGCAGCTGGTCGGAGGACTTGCTGCACGTATAGAGGAGAAGTCCGGCGGTGCCACGGAGGGCGCCGCTGAAAGCGGCGGCGCCATGGAGAGCGTCGCCACAAGCAATGCAGGTCATTTTGGGACCGTGCAGTACGACGGCGCAGGCAGCGGACCTGCGAAGAGAGTCTGGTCCTTCGGGACGACACAGCGGCGAAGTAGGGGGTTCAGACCCCCAAGAGGTGAGAGTAGCCGCTGCTCACAATCGAGCTTGTTTTAGCAGCGCCATGGGAAGTGGTGACTGCTGTCTTCGGTTGTGCGAGCGTGGGATACCAAAGCGTGAAGTACACAGCGCCCACGTTCAGCGGAGACGCCAAGATTTTTTCTTCGTGGCTAGAGGATTTTTTTATGGCAGCGAACACAGCAAACCTTCTTGAGCTTTTCGAGGAGGGGGGGGCGGAGATCCCCGTAAACAGTGGGCAGAGCAAAGTCCAACTGTCCAGGTTTTACCCGCACGACAAAGTAGAGCTCGCTTTCCACGCGTGGAATTTCCTCCGTGGAGCTCTCAAGGACGAGAAAGACAGGACAATAATGAAGCGAGCTGAGTCGCCCC